TACCATAGGAAGCCCCCCAAATCCCATGCAGATGCTTGAGAAAGGTGGTGACCATCAGCCCATTCAGCGGTGGACAGTTAGCTGGGGGCCTTCCTAGATGGGAATGGTGAATCGAGCATTTATCGACGTTTGAAGGGTTTGAAGTTGATAAGACGGATTAAATGGATAAAGCTGTGTCTTTCAAAGGGAAAGGCACTTGGTAGGCTGCGACAGGTTGCAGTCCACACCCAAGACTTGGCAGATCGTGGCATTTTGTTGGGTTTGGGTCGGGCTGCTCCCAAAAGCAGCGATTCAAGCCTTAAATCGAGACAGAGTGTCCAAGCAAGTCCAGAACATAACCTTACAATGACAGTGCGCGCAGCTTCATTATTTCCAAAACTTTGGCCACTATTGACAATAGATCATTCTGGCCATTCTCGATCGTGCTGTTGTGGTAAGAGCGAATTTCGGGGCGGCAGGTCCAGCCGCCAGGGACGACAATGACTTTATTTTTCAATCACTAAGGTTAATGGAATGGGCTGCCCGGCTTGTATTTACATCAATGAGTGGGTGAGCGATGCCTCAGTACGGTTAACTGTTACCTGTCGCGACGGTGCGTGCTGTCGCGCAAGCAACCCAAAATCTGAGGGGCATCATTATTGCAGTGAAACCGATTCACTGAATCGGTTTGGAAACATGCCGCAATGTAGTCACATGCACGGCCACCAGCTCCCCAGCGGCATCCAACCCTGGCGAGTGGCCGCCTCCATGGCGATCCCTGACCTGGCAACGCACGGGCCCACATGGCAGCAAAGCAGTGGCCGCCCCACAACGCCTAGCAGCACAGCCGTGACTGGTGCATCACTAGGAACAGGGCGGGGGGAGCTTGTCCAGCTGATGCGACCACTGCGTGTGCGATCGGCCGCAGCAGTCTGATACCTGATGAGGGAAGTGCATGCATGATTAACGTCAACCATCAAATGGAGCCGTGCTTCATCGGCATGAAACAAACTGAAAACCAAGCGAAATGACGCCGTTATGGTTTCAAACATATTTACCGCAAAATACCATTTTTTACAGTTACTTTTGGTTTCAAGGTTGGATTTTGTCCACTTCCGTCTAGGTACAGCCACGGAAGTTTTCAGCCACCTAAGCACGGATTAGCGGCTGCCACGCATTCCAGAATCTCTCACTTTCTGCTGTTGCTAGCGCAGTGTCCATTCTGTGATTCGCTGTATTGGCCTCAACCAATGCCTTTCTTTTGGTCGGCGCCAGCACGCGTAGTTTCCACACTAGAGCTCGGCGCTAGCCGCCTGCGCCGTCTGCTAATGTAGTTTCATTTTCTTGCCGTACTGTCCATTTAAAAAATGAGAACTTGCCGTATTGTCCGGTAAAGTGTCTGGTGGGAGAGGGGAAGGGGAGGGAGGGAGGGAGGGAGGAGGAGGAGGGAGGGAGGGAGGGAGGGAGGGAGGGAGGGGGAGGGAGGGAGAGGAGGAGGGAGGGAGGGAGGGAGGGAGGGAGGGAGGGAGGGAGGGGACCATGGGTGCTGTTGTGGCCCCGCAGGGTACTGTTCCGTCCACGCAAGATGAATGGCGCCAGTGGCATGGCAAGCGGCCCTGGGCGGGCACCCCAAGGCTTGGCGTGGTGGTGGAGAGCCACAGAATGGGTGATTAATTGGCGCCTGGCAGGCGCCCATTCCCGCCACCCGGGGGGACCAATCTTGTCTTCCGTGGGTGGCAAGAGCGGGCGTCCACGGGGTGCCAGATTTGCCTCGTGGGCGTCCCACCCCACCACGCGCGGCGACCAATTGAGGCCCCTGTGGGTGACTGAAGTGGGTGCACACGGGATGCCTGACTTACCAAGAAAAGTGGCACCTCAACACGCGCCCACTCCCGCCACTAGCGGGAGCGGGCACCTGTGAGGCGCCGTTTTGCTAAGAACTTGGCGAGTCGCAGGCTCCCACTCCCACCAAACGCCTGGGCCTGGATTGGCGCCCACAGGTGGTGGAAGTTGGCGCCCGCGAGGTACTATTTTTGCCAAGAAGATGACGCCTTGCGAGCGCAAGTGGACCCAAGTGGGCGCCTTGGGGGGCCCAATCAAGGCCCACGCGGGTGGCGGATCAGGCGTCCGCAAGGCGCCATTCGTTTGGCGCTTGTGCCCACCCAGGTCGTGCAAAATGGCCCCCTGTGCGTGCGGCAAGGACAACCCTTGCAATCCCACAATACTGCGCCTGGCTCCGCCTTGTTGCGCCGCGCCTGCCCCGTGCGGTGAGAAAGGGAGCGCCACGGTCAGCGACATGGTGGTCGCGGGGGAGGGCTCGCAGTGACACGACGTGACTTTAGCATTTCCTTTCCGCTCCCTTCCACTCCCCAGCCCCGATTTCCCCTCCCATCCACTCACTAGGCACCGATTACCGCTCCCTTCGCTCCCTGCCGCTCCGTGGTCCCTGATTGCCACTCCCTACCGACCATCAGGCCCCGGTTCTTGATAAATTACCGTTGCTTTATGGATGGTAACGCGGTCATCTCAATTGCGGATGGTAGCGCCAAGCTCTATCCCAAGCATTGGCGCATCTAACAAATTGGTGCTGTCCAACACATTGACCTGTATCTTAACGTTCAGCCACAACCTTTGCACAGCTCTTGTGGACATCCCAGACTACACTCTGAACCCTGATGCCGCCCATGAGGGAGTCTGTTTGGAATCACGCTGCACCTCTGGTAAACCGGTTGACCAATGCATATCTCTCCTACAGCGAGAGCTCTGTCTCATCCATCTCGTCAGAAGGACAAAACCATCTCGCCATACCCTGCAGCAGGTCTCACCAGAATGCAAGGCTTCATACCAGCTTCTCCTGACGTATTCCAAAAACGGCAGTGTCGTTTGCTACATTTGAGGGTTCCAGAGATAGTTCTCTGAAAGCTGTCGGTGCAGTCACACTGAGTCAATATGGAGCATTGAGGTTGATTTGGCCGGAATTTCTGAATCACGCTTCTGGACCTCCAATTGCACGACTGGATTTCGGATACGACATTTGCAACAGGGGTGGGAAGCTGGGGAGAGTGCAAATCGCAGTAGATCAGCGGCATGCAAGTCGCGATATGTTCGAGTCCTCGATAACGGGACACATCTCCTCAAACGCCCAATCAAATGTGTTTCATCTTCCGGGGCTGCCTCCATCGCCTGCCATCATTTCAAGCAACCCATTTCCTCAACTCTCCATAATGGCAAAGCGCTGTTTGCTGCCATCCTCGAAGATATCTTGAATTTATGTTGTGTACATTTTCCATGTTGTTGGTTCACCCGGGCATGCTTTCATTGATTCTGAGGGGTACGGGAGGAGGTTGTTCTTCAATCGGACACCATCGGCGTCAAATTGCAGCTGATGACGCATCAGGTGCAATCGCACATCTGCTGCCACAACAATATGACACACCTGTTGAGGAGAACGCAGCACAACCCAGTACTACAATCTGTTGACTTTATACTTCATGAAATAATGGCGTCAATATTCTACTGGCGTCACCACATGTCATACTGCGATGCCATTAGGGTCACTATATTGTATTTCCCAAGCCCGTAAATGTCTACACGATAACAGAATGGTGCACAAGCTCAACAGACATTGAATCTGAATTCGCAAATGAACGTGGCATTCCTTACAACGCGAGCTGCAGATCTCACCCGAAATCCGCATCTACCCCTATCAACATTCTTCTCTGTTCCTGGGTTCCCAAAGAAGTACATACCCATGCCCGGGTGTTAATATCCACACAGAGACTCTCATCGGAGCTCTTCGGGTTCGCCCTGTCGAAATGAAGTCGGTTGCACCGCTGTGATTTCGGAGCGTCCTTACTTGCATGCACTTGCGTCCCTTCAAAGTGTAACAAATTCTGTAAATTAGTGGATTTGTGACTACAGAGCTGCATCCACGTCGCCAAAATGATCCATGCTCGATGGCTGCACGCCCTGCAGTTTTGCCTGCCTTAACGAAGGGGAAGGGTGATGTCTGTTCGGCTGCAGCTAAACAAACTGCTTTCGTCTGATTGACAGTTTTCAAGCATACATAGGCAGGCTTAAAGTTCTTCGCAGGTAGGGACACTGGTGACGTAAGAACGAATACAGATCCCGCATCGTTGAAAAATGCAAGACCATTACTGGGATGGAAGCGGCGTGGCCCACAGTGTGCTGAACTTGTCGATCAGCCGCGTGGTCTCATACCACCTGGCATGATGGGCGATCGAAGCTGCAAAGCAATGATGTATGGCTGTGTTTGGCGTTGTGATCGCTCTTAGGAAGCGTTTACTGCACTTGCAAAGCCGGCAAAACCCGGGAATTTCCTATGCGATGCATTTTTTCATATCTAGCCCATTTTTTCCAATTTTCTGCGTATGACTTTCAGAGGCCTGCCCATCCAATTCTTTACCCAAATCATCCACTTCTGCGATCAAGGGTTCACATGAAGTTACCGGCATGACCCGGTGTTGATATCTATCGTTTTGTGTCGGCATCATCTACACGGATACGAATACCGGGCAATAACGGCATTGGAAACAATTGTGCACCAAGTGTCCTCTTCAAATCCAATTCAGATTACAGGGCAAAACGAAAAGTGCGTCGGATAGTGAGATCGTTCCACATGTGTCTCGTCCGACAACATTCCCATAAGCAGATCAAACACAGCCCGTGTATCGGCAAGGGGCGCACAGCATCTGAACGTCAGACCTTCCTTTCGAAATTGCTTGGTAGCGGCTGCCCTTGAACCAGAGACAGGCAGCACACACTGAGGCCACGTAGCTGCCACACCTAAGTTTGTTGGCACCTGTTTCCACGTTCTTGTTATTCCCCACAAGGAACGCCCCTATCACATGACGTTAGTCAAATCGTATCAACCTCATTCCATTCAGTATTAAGCTTGCAGGAGCGGCAGTTCAGCAGTTACTTTTCGCAGCTGCGAGATGTGGACATGCGGAACAGCCGTTCAATTGCTCGCCAGTTGCACCAAGCCCTCCGCGATAAGCTCAACCTGACCCCTGCTTTCCGCTCGTCGAGGGTGTCGTAGTAACGGTGAACGAGGGGGTATGAGGGGCCGACGGCGGGTAAGATGGACGATCGGCAGGGCACATGACGATGGGGCAGAAGCATATATTCCCGTTCTCATCGTCGAAGATCCTGGTGTTCGACACTCGAAAGCTGCCGTCGTCCGGATCATCCGGCAGAAAACTGAATGACGAAGAGCCGCTCTGGGCATTCACACGCGCACGCACAAAGCTGTTGCGGTAGCCCGACGAGCTAAAAACAACACAGGAACAAATCATCGACACAAATTACGAAGAGAAATCCTTTTACCTCCATCAGACCTGCTGAGACTTGGATGGAACAATTTCAAGTTTTTGCAATTTCTGACGCGATTCCTTGCGAGTTTTCGTTGATGATTATCTAGATGTGCTGCAGCACGCCGCTTGGTGGCAGGTGCTGAGAACATTGCAAAAATGTCACTGCGCATTGGCATCATTGTCACTGCCGTTCGCCGGGCTTTGCGAGGGGCAAAACATCCTCAAAGCTCACCTAGAGGACCCGCCAATGATATCAGCTTCGTTGAGAGGGCAGGGGTCAATGCCTTCAATGTCCCCAGCGAGCCTCGCCCTCGGTATGCTGCAGCAGTCCCTTCGAACAATGTCGAACTCATTGGGCCTCCCTGGGGGCCCGCCAATGCAAGCCTGGTCGACTCTTTCCAGGCGCTCGAATTCGTCGAAAACTGTGAATTACACTGACGTCAGCTCCAAATTGGGACGGGCTGCACTAGGAAAAAAGTGCCAAATAACACGTGTTCAAACGTGTACAAAGTTTACGGGTTTGGGTTATTTTTGTGCTCCTAGCGTGCAGAACTTTGTTGAAATGTGTTTTGTGTGTGTGTGTGTGTGTGTGTGTGTGTGTGTGTGTGTTCGCAAAAGTGTAATTGGGTCCTTTTTCTGCCAGTGCTGGTAAAACTTGCCCCGTTTCGCTCAACTCCTGCCGTGTCTGAACGACTTGAGCGGCCGAAAACCGTGTTTCAGCAACGCACAGTGGGCTTCCAAGCCTGGCTAGTTCGTGCAATTGAGTGCCCCTTTCCGGCCCAGTTCATCAGGTCACAACGACGGAGAACTGACGTTGATGCACCAAACCCCGCGCGTCTAAACGGGTCAGTCACAATCCTGCCAATTGAGATATCGGCACAGTTAATACATCCAGTAGGAAGCACAGACCACTGCTGCCACATCCCGTCGTGATGCCATTGACCTAACTTATGAATACCTTACATTTGCTACACCCAGCAGCATTTTAAGTCAAATCACGAGCCCAATTGTTGGCCGCGTGACCTTTTGAGGGCATGTGAATCGCGCCAGGACACCACGAGGGCGCACACCTGTTGGCCAACCGCCAAATGGAATGTTTGCTGTGGGCCCGCTGGATGTACGGGGGGTGCGTTGGCTTTCCACCGAGCCAGAAAGCTGGAACCCGCCCCTTCAACCAGACGTGCCCGGTCGCATGCCAAGAGTGCGGGCGGACAGGTGCACGAGCGCCGAGCGACATGTCCACCATCCCAGCCCTCCGCGACTATTCAGCGCCTGGCTGCCGAAATCGCGAAAAGGTGATGACGAGGTGTCGTCAACCTTGTAGCGGGTTGTCGGTGAGGCGCACATTATGGCAAGATGCCGCTGAAGGCCACGCCCCCTTTCGAAACCCATCCATGACAAGAAAGGCGAAGACCGACTCGAGCTCCGTAACCCTCACGGTTTGTAGTCAAGCAGATCGTCAGCGCCACGCGCGGGGCGCCACGTACGGCGCCTGTGGATCCGCACCCCACCGTCGGACGCTCGACTGCGCGGTCGACCGAAGGCAGATCCATTGCCATACCCGCTTGCTGGCCGAGAGCCGCCAAGGGCGCGATGGCGAGCGCCAGCACGAGCACGCAGGAGGTGGCCGCCATTCTCCCGGCAGCACCGAGGGATGGGCCCCGGTGGTGGAAGGAACCTGTTCTCAGCAGAGTTTGCGTGCGTAGCAAAGCGTGGGGCCTCCTCCCAGCTGCCGCCTGGCACCCAGCGGGGGGCTCCTTCAAATAGGTGGTTGCGACCTGTAACTTCACAGCGTCAGTGTGATGTGGGACCGCTGCACTGGACAACTTCGCATCACGTGACCAGGGCTGGTCCTTTCATCCCCCCAAAACTCCATCAAATCGGGGCCCAGGCCATTTGTTGTCACGCCGTGGCGTCCGCCCTGTAGCTGCGGCGGCCGCCCAGTGGGGCCCACAACATTTGATAAGCGCACCGTAAGCCTGTGCTGGTGCCCCGTTGTAGTTGCGTCACGGTAGTGGCCGGGCATCTTTCTGGTACACCAGCATTCGGGAGCTGCTCGGTTTCCGCCGCCAGCCACACAGATTCGCCTAGGTTCTCGCGGCTGGACCTTTCACCGTGCTGCGCACCTCTTCCTCAGGGGCGGGCCGCGGGGCCTTCGGCGACAACTTCGCCGAGGTTCTGTGTCGGCGCGCAGGCCAACGTGCTTATCCAGGTTAGCGTGGACTGGGGCAAATGTCAATGCGTGGGGCGCGCGGCCCAAACCGCCATGCCACATGTCGCCACTAGAGCAGACACCTCGATCGACAGTCTTGCTGCGAGTGCGGTTGTCCTAATATAGGCATGCTTGTGGCATGTCGCCAGGCGCGGGATCGCTGAAGGCAATTCTTTGGCGTCGCGGCGCATGCGGCGACGTGGTCGTTTGTCCATCGGGAGCACTGGGAGCGTTTGGCGGCCCGTTTGTCTTCAAACGAGGGCCTCCAGGTGCGCCGGGTTCCCATGGATTGCCATGTGGTGCCGAAACGGAGGGGATGGTCCCGGTCAACGGCGACGCCGGTCCCGGCCCTTCCGTAGGTATTGTACATCGACGCCGGGGGCCTATCTAGCATCTGGCAGCATGCGTTTCCGAAGATGTCTTGCCCCAACAGTTCGACGCCTGGACACGCTGCCTCGCTTGGGACTGCGCGCTGTGCACTGCACCTTCAGGTTTGCTGTCGGGGCGCTCCTCCGGCAAGCCGCGTGACACTCTCGCTACCACCAAGGATTGGCCGAAAACCAATCAACGCGTTTGGCACTGGCTGCATGTTGGTTACATGCTAAGACTGATGTCCAACTTATTAACTGGCGGCCAGGCGGCAGCTGTGCATCATACATGCTGTGGTGCAGTACGCCCCAACTCAGCGGGCAGGGCGCGCCTGTGGCTTTAGGACCTTATCAATGTCATACATTACCAGCGTGGTGCCTCCGACCGCACCCATCTCCGCATTTGGAGCTGGCCGTAAAGACAATCGCGGGGGCTATTGGCGGGACATTGATGTTGCCCTTGTGAAAGGCTGCGCATTCCCGTGATTTTCTGGTGCGGCCCAGGTGTGCATCCGAGAAGCCTGATTGTGCAAGTACGTGCTCTATCGCATGTCAGCGGCAGTTGCAATACGCCATTTTCATTCATCACGCCCACTGTAGGCCTTCGTACGTAATGTCCATTCAACAAGTTGCCGATGTCGGACAATAGCACACCGCAAAGCTGTCGTATCGAATCAATGCTCTTTCTGTGCCCATTGAGCTGCCAGGCGCCGCAGAATCCTTGGCAGATTTGCCTGGACCCAGGTCTACCTCAGCGACGCTTCTCTTGGGTATCGAAGGAAATCCTCTGAACTCCGGAGTAGGCGGAAGTGCAGGAACGGTTGGTCGTCATCGCAAGCCCCAGTGGCAATGGCAGGAACAGCAATATGTGATTTCCGAATTATGTGCCCCTGCCCACAGTTTCACACTACATTTGGACGGTGCGGTGTTGTGCTCGAGATATGTCGCTTCTGTAATGGAAATTTCGCTGCTTTGCAGGGCCACATTATTCTGGTCCAGGCCCTGCCGTGCGGCATGAAGAATCTGTCCGTACGACTTCTGGTTTGTAACCTTCTCCTTCTTTTCTTTGTTGCGAAACTTGTGACAGCGCAAGAAAATCAGCCACCGACCAATTTCAATTGCTCTTTGCTTGGCAATGGCGACACCTTCAGCGGGGCATCGACAGTTGTGACGGAAGACGTCCTGGATGCGGCCGACAATAACCTGCAGTTTGTGGTGGACTGCATCTCCTCCAATGGGTCGATCGTCTTCGATACGCCATCTGTTGAGCCAATCAGCACGATTACTATTGACAAACCTGTCCGAATGGAAGCCAGCGATGCCATTGGAAAAACAGTCTTTTCATGCCCTCCAGGAGGCACAATTTTCGACATCAGGTCTCATGGTGTGAGCCTGGCGAATCTCGTATTCGCCAACTGCTCCACTGATGGCGCGGCTGCGGTACAGGCGGAAGACTGCGGGCCGGGGCCCAACCAGGTGGACATCGTTGGGGTGGAATTCCTGTCCAACGCGAATACCAATGCCACAGCAGGTCTGAAAGTATCCAGCTGCAGGGTCAGGGCAAGAGGCGTCAAATTCATCGACGGCACAGGGACGGAAGGGGGTGCCGTGGCAATTTCAAACAACTCGATTGTTGTTCTGGAAGATTCGTCGTTTGAAAACAACATGGCTTCATTTCGGGGAGGTGCTCTGCATGTGCGATCATCAGCGGTTTCCGTGGCTTCCTGCAATTTCACCGGAAACAACGCATCCATGGACGGGGGAGCCATCTACGCCGAGGACGGCACTAACTTGACTCTGGTTGGATGTAGGCTTGATTCGAATGCGGCGGGATTCCGCGGCGGTGGTTTACACGCCCAATCGGCTTCCACGTCCAACATCTCTGTGATAGGTACTGCTTTCCTAAACAACTCGGTGGATGGTAGCGCTGTTGATTTGGGACAGGCTTCGCTGGCGCTGTTTCCGGTGTCAGCCAATCTGGACATCTCTCAGCTGCCTGCAGGTGGAGGCATGGCGATCAACGGAACTGGCATTCGTTGCACTATTGAAAACGGTGCTCTGTTCGAAGGAAACAACGTGTCTGGGATTGGGGGCGCCATAAGCATTGATGGTGTGGGAGATTTTCTGGTGAATAAAACAGATTTCAGGGCGAACGTGGGTTGGCATGGTTCCAATGTCTATATGGTGTCCTCCGTCTCCAGGCTCAGCCGTGCAGCATTTCTGGACAGTAGGGGAAACTCGTTGGCCGGAGACAATCCTGCTGAGAACGATATTGTTGAAGGTACGTCCATTTGGGCTGTCAACAGCAGAGTTGATGTCGACAACAGCCGGTTCAGAAATAACACCGCCAATCAGGGATCAGCGATTCACGCTGCGTCGAGTAACATTTCCCTGCAGCACTGCAGTTTCGAGGAAAACGTCGATAAGGTGACGGGGTGTATTACTCTCATAAATGCGACCGTTGTCAACGCAACATCCTGCATATTTTCCAACAATGCCGCCATTGGCTCCACGGTTGGCGGTGTGAAGTTGAACAGCCTCGGTGGTGTCGCCATTGCCGTTCAGGGAAGCAGGTTCGCTGCTGCTTCCTGCATCTTTCAGAACAACAGTGCGTTTGTGGGGGGCGCTGCTGCCATGCTGACTGGGAGTGCGGTGTTTGATAACTGCACCTTCCTCCAAAACACTGCGACATTTTCGGGAGGAGCGATTTATGCATCGGAAGGTTCTGGCTTCACCTCAGTCAATTGCACATTTGATGGCAACGCTGCTGGGCTACTTGGTGGTGCAGTTAGCGCAGAAACGCCATTTTTTGACGACCAGGCGGCTGTGGCAACGGTTTCAGGTTCCACTTTCAAGCGAAACAGGGCTGGATTTAGCGATAGACCAGATTCTCTGACAGGCAGCGGAGGGGCGATGTTCTGCGGGGATTTCTCGCGATTCAATGTGGATGAAGACAATTTAGAAGGTGAGCAAATCCAAAACGTCGGTGGAGTGGATGTTTTGGCGGGAAATCTTCAATGTACGTTCGAGGGGACAGAATTCACTTCAAACGCTGCTGGTCTGGGTGGCGCAGTAAGCGGCGTTTTCGCAAACAATATTTCGATGGATTTTGTCGCTTTCATTGAAAATTCTGCAGTTGACGGTGGAGCACTGTATTTCAAGATGGGGGGAAGCAGCGATCCCCAAGAGCTTCGCTTCCCTGGAACATATGTGAGTGGCGGAAACGTGTCCTTCGTCAGCAATGTTGCTCGCAGGGGTGGAGCAATGTTCTCCGTGACCGATGTGTCAACAGCAGACCTGGTGCGCAGCTCAATATCCCACGACAACGTCACGCGAACCACGAGCGACGGAATGAATGGGAATGAAGACGATGTTTTCATGATGGACAGCACTTTCAGGAGGAATGTTGCCAATGATTCTGGAGGAGTGTGGTATTCTGAAAGGACCAGAATGGGTTGCAGAAACTGTACTTTTGCACAAAACAGTGCCAATTCTTCTGGTGGGGCAATACTCATCATGGAAAGGTCTGTGCTTCATGCGAGGAACGTCACATTTGCCGAAAACAGTGCGAAAATCGGTGGTGCACTGTCTGCACGAGACTCTTTCGTGGACATCATGCTGGCGCTGGTGGATAACAACGTGGCAGAAATGGAGGGCGGTGGTTTGCATATTTCTACCCTCGACAGCATCCCATACGGGTTCAAGCTCATTTCCCATGTAGGAAACGCCACTGTAGTCGGAAACAGAGCGCCCGTTGGCGCTGGGTTGTACTTCGTTGTGGAGAATGATCCCCGAAGCACGAGGATTCCAGATGTGAAGAGGATGGCAGTGACGGCCAGCAATTTTTCAGACAACAGCGCTGCGCTTGCAGGGGCAGCCCTGTTTACCAACCGGCCCGATGTCTTGGATGTTTGCTGTGCATGCGATTTGAACAAGACTAGGTTTCCGCAAGGAGAGGGGTTCGAGGTCCTCCGTTTGGGTGTGGAAAACATCTCGGCGATTTCTCCCACGGGGCTCTTGGACACCCCGCGCCCTTGTCCACAGTCGTGGAGCA